TTCTTCTTCTTTTTTTTTTTTTTTTTTTTTTTTTTTTGAACTAGTTGAACTCGTTGAATTTTGTATCTATCTTTGAGGAACTCGTCTTGAATGAAAACCGACTTTCCCTTCCATACAACTTTGTTTGGAATATCGTTCTTGAAGCAAAGTTTCTCTTCAATCTCAATGTTTTCTAAGAATAGTATGAAGTATGGATATAAAATTATGGCTAGGTATCCATATTTAGGTTGTCTATGCTATGTCTCTATTGTATATGTATGTGAATTTAGTGGTTTTACAACGATGATTAGGAGTTCGCCAACTAATTTTAATAGTAGACCTGAATGAGTCTGAATAAATATAGAAATGACTTGACTTATTATTATACATGACTCTACTATGTGGGGTTATTTATGAAGTTTGTCATTTAGCTTTCCTTTGGTGAACTTGTCACAAGGACGACAGAGGTCCACAGTTGGACTTTAGAGTTCGTCGATCTTGAGACTTATGATTATTATTCATGCATGTGAATCAGCGGTTATATAGGGACAATTAGGAGTTCGCCAACTAGCCCTTAATCATAAACCTGACAAGATTGTTAGGGATCTAGATAACTATAGAATTGGCGTCTAATGTTTTGTTTGTATGATTGTACACTGTGGGGATTATTAGAAAGTTTGTCGGTTAGTTTCCTTTTAATGAAACTATCACGAGCGGCAAAGGTTCACAGTAGTACCCTTGAGAGTTTGTCAAATCTTAAAATGTATTAACCTTATGAGATTGGTATTAAGGTCGCGCCTTGAGGGGCTACGATTTAGGTCGAGAATTATGATGATGATGAAAGATACTAGCAACAATGACTCACTAAGAGACCAAAAAAACTTAAAACAAATTTTGAGGGCGAGAGGTCTAGATAGGGACCAAGAACTTGAACTAGCTTCCGCTGAAATATCCCAAGTAGAGCTTAGGTAGTATGAGTAAACTTAAGATGTAATCTAGAAACAATCTTTACTTAGTATATTTTATTTATTTGGTGTATTTCAAATAATGTAAATTTGTAATATCGTATTCCTGTAGCCTCTGTTTGCCTTTCGGTAAAATGAGACAGGAATGGTAGGACCTGCCATCCTCCAAGTAGAACCGAGCAGCAGGGCCACTTCCAGTTCAACTTGAAAAAGGGTATAAAATCCTCCGAAAGGGACCAGACTTCAAAGCCACACCGTCGACGCCGTCCAAGAACGATGTTAGGAGTTAATTGTTGGGTTCGCTACGTCTTTGAATCATTTTTCTTTCTTTTTCTTTTAATTCTTTTAAGTTTTAATTTATCCACATGAAGCATAATTTTTTTTTATTTTTTTTATTTTTTATAATTCAACAAATTAATAAAATAAATAACACTTTTCCACATCAGAAAAGTATGTTGCAGTTGATGTGACTGAAGATTTTTGTTTCCATTTTTTCAGATTCAATAATTTAATATTGTTTTAATCATTCCCCTCCAAACTTCCTTTCTTTAGTAATATATATATATATATTTTTTACTTCAATAATACAATTAAAATGATAAAATTACCACTGCCATTAAAAAAAAAATTATAATTTTATAAAATTTGATAAATGTAAAAACTAGTATTATTAAGTAATAAATCAATGTCAAATCAAAATCGGTAAACGGTGAGCTTAAGTCACTTTTCAGTATAGTAAAGTATTGAGCTCTTATCCTAACTA